TTTTTAATAATTAAGATTTAATAGAATTTGTAAAATAAAAATTAATTATTTTTTTAATAAAAATAAATAAATTTTAATTATTAAAAAAATAATTAAATTTTTTTATAAATATAATATATAAAGTATATTCATAAATAGATGTTAACTTATATGTATTTCAAGTTTTTTTTGCCAAACATATAAATTTTGAAGTAGTAATATTATTTTATAATATACTGTATACATAGTAACAATTATAATTTTTTTAAAAAAATTAGAATTATTTAAGGAGACCTATGCGCAATTCTTTACACACAGAGTCCTGTCATTTGAACGGAGACAAGTCTGGCCAAAACCGGTACAAAATGGAAGGGGAATCGGGTTCCGGCACCAAGACCCCTCTGCTGAGTGGGAGCGGCAGACGGTCGGGACTATTCCGGAGGAAGAACTCGGTGAACACGCTGAGGAAGGAGTTTGTGTTAAGGTTGCCAGAGAAAGTTCGCTGTGGTGTTGATGATGAGTCTCCTTTCGACATCGATGTCTCAAAAACCAAAGGTTTGACCAAAGGTTAGAGCTTTCTGTCTGTTTCGTCTTCTATCTAGCTTTGTTTGTCATTTGTGTTTCAATGGTCTTGTTCTGTTTCATTGGTTGATGACATACATTTTTGGGTTCCGATGGAAATGTTAAAGGGTAAGAATAAGATGGACACTGATGAATCACTTCTCTCGAGAGTCAGTTTTGTTGAGACTTGAGAGATAATAGTTTTTTGAGATGACCCTTAACGCAATAATGGGTGTTTGATTGTTGAGAAAATTAATGTAAAAGACATGAGAGTTTAAGATAAAGAAGAGAACTGTTTGTTTTTCCTTCTTTTTGTTCAATCTTTCTTCTTTCTATGAGTTTTCTGTATCCATTTTGTACCAGACAGAAACAAATGATAAGGTTTATAAGAGAGTGATTTAGTTCTTCCGTGTTTTCTTGGCAACCATGGGTGAGTTTTCTGTATCCATTTTGTACCAGACAGAAACAAATGATAAGGTTTATAAGAGAGTGATTTTGTTTTGCCGTGTTTTCTTGGCAACCATGGGGAGCCAGAGCCTAATGATCATGATTGACAATTCAATGTGTAGGGGAAAAGGAATACTATGAAAAACAATTTGCAACCTTGAAATCCTTTGAGGAAGTTGATGCTTTGGATCCGTCCACAGAGGACGTTGTTGACGAAAATGGGCAAGATAAGAAGCAAATTCAACAAGAAAGAGCCATGAAGATTTCTTATTATGCAAATATAATCTTGCTGATACTAAAGGTAAATTTTTAGAGTAATGATCAGCAGGATGATTTTGCGGGCTGATTTTGGGGGACGACAAGTGAAGCAGGGTCAAATTGATAATTGTTATTGGGACTGCTTCACTTGTCGTCCCCAAAATCGTCACGCAAAATCGTTCCGCATATCATTACTCAAATTTTTATTACTTGTTTCATGGTCAATTTAATCTCCATAACTGTTTCTCATCATTATCTATCTTTATGGAGGAAACTATGTTTGGCCATTAATTGTGAGGATTTTAGAATGCATTGGAATCTGTGATTCTTTTCTATATACTCTTATATTCCCACTCTTAAGGTAACAATTTGCATGTTGTGCAGTTCTATGCCACAATAAGGAGTGGATGCATAGCTATAGCAGCGTCAACATTGGACTCTTTTCTTGAACTCATGGCTGGTGGCATACTTTGGTTCACTCATTTGTCAATGAAAGACGTAAACATTTATAAGTATCCTATTGGGAAACTGAGGATGCAACCAGTAGGCTTGATTGTCTTTGCCGTTGTTATGGCTACACTCGGTAAGTTCCTTGGTTGTTGAATTTGATTGAATATTT